GCAAAATGGACGTGTAGTTTGGCGCGGAAACTCCCCATTCAACGGGAAAAGATCACTGCCACCTCCTGCGATAACACCATGAATTAAATGTACGGGAGAAATGACCTAAGCAGTTACCGCTCCTGGAATCACTTATCATTCAATTAAATTCGTTCAGTATTCTTAAGCTTCTTTCACAGAAAGTTTTTAGTTTTTAAATTTTTGGCAGGTTTCAAATAAAATGAATTGTGTTTGCTAGCAAGTTATTTTTGTTTTAATGTGTAATGTATACTAAAGAATTTATACTAAACTATATTTTGTACTTTTCAAAGTGTATTTCAGGCAAATACAATAGGGCGTTTCAGAACTTGAAAATAAATCAAAGAGTCAATTTCCAAATAGAACTGGCCACATTTGTACCACATTTTCAAAAAAACTTAAACAACTCTGCTAATATTCTCTTCCTATCCATTACAACACGTTGTGCAAGTTTGATCGTAGTGGTGTAACAAATGACACTGTCTTTCGGAGACTTTTCTTGTTGATACTGGTGAGGAATGTGAGGTAGAAAAAATTATCTTATTTCTCACAATGAAGATGTGAAGTAGGAATATTTAAATCGTAGTCCTTCAAATATTTGTGTTGTTACGATTCTAGTTCTAGTTCCCATCTTCCTCATTCGCGTCGTCACATCTAACATTGAGTGCCGACATCTGGTGGCCAAATAAAACAATTGCTCGTAGGAAGCAGATTTGATGTCGATGACGGAGATCTATTGAAAATTTTCTTTTAATCAGCTCTCCAATCCACTCTGCTCAAGTCCATGAGACCAGCTGAGTCGTGTGAGCTCTTGAAATTGGATTGGACCGGAGCATTATCACTGTCTAAGCAACTCTAACCGGCAGGTCCTGAGGTCCTGGGTTCAAGTCCCGAAAATGGAGGGTTGCTGACACTATCTAGATAACCGGTTGTCTGCTCTAATCAGAAGTTTTTCGTAGTTTTCTTCCAACATTAGACGAAGGCCGAAGCAGTCCTCTAAGAAACGAGTCACGGACCGCACGCGATCTTTCCTTCTTTTTTCTTGTCCTCTTCTTGCCCCTTACTTACACTTACATGCGTTACTCAACCACATACGTCGGGAGATCATTCGAGAGCTTAGAGCTTGTCCCGGCTGGGGCGGTGCCCCGCTGGTGAGAGATGCCTAAAGATGAAAATCTCCTGCAAGCCGACGGGAAGGTCAGCGCCGCATGTCACCATCAGCGGCGGTAGAACATCACCACATGTCAGGTTATAATATTCACTCCACTAAATCTGACAATCTACATTGTCTCGAGCTGGTCACGCTAGTGGGGCCGATAAGCTCTGAGCCAGAGCACAACTTTCAAGCTGCCGACATGGCAGCTCCGTTTTAAATAATAGTATTAACTAGCGGTGCTACATAATTGAATTGAATTGAATTGAATTGAATTGAATTGAATTGAATGTCGAAGACTTTCCCGTATTAGTTTTCTATTTTCTTTGGTCTTGGCTGCCTATTTAAACTTGCCACATACTCTTGCCTGCTGCCATCCATCGCCACCAAAATATTTTTTTTTTTTAATTTTCTCAATTTTTCCTAATAGTAGTTTCTTAATGATAGAACGGAAATACTATTATAAGAATATTAAAGAACAGTAAAACGTCGTCCGGCAATTTTGTTTAAAAAGTAGGGAACCTTTATTAAAACAGCATTTAAGCGCTACTGTAAATTCAAAATTGGAACATCTCTTTCACAAACCATTTTTGATTTTTCGATAAACTTCATTTGCAGTCATCTAAGTACATTAACTCGCAAGTACAATAGTGTTTACAAATTGCTGGAATTGTGCATAGTAACCGCGTGCAAGATTTTTCAAAGAAATTACATTTGCGTATCTTTTGAAAAAACAAAAAACATCCTGAAATGAACTTTACGTCATATTACAGACTGTAATTAGTATCACCGGTTCGAAAAGTTCGAAGAAAAACAACAGAAAATACAATATACAACATCTTAACTATATCGTAAATCCGCCAGAAATTAAAAAATCATGTAAACTTCGCGTATAACTGAGGAAGGGACTGCCTTTCCGCTAGCCCCTACAGTTCTGCAAAAGTGAGACACATAAACAGCAAAGGAAGCGAAATCAACTATGCCAATACTTCGTTTCATGGAGCTGGGTCTGGCAGTCCCAGGGAGGAATTGTAAAATAACTGATTTTAATAAAAACCATCTAAAAAAGTACAATTATTGTGTCTTTATTTATTGCAGAGAGAGAGAGAGAGAAAGAGAGAGAGAGAGAGAGAGAGAGAGAGAGAGAGAGAGAGAGAGAGAGAGGGACAAAGATTATGAAAGAAGATAAAGTTTCAGATATTATCTGTTTTCTCTTTAAAGAGACGTCAAACCGAGATGCTCGACTATAGATACTCAATATGCAACTGCGTAGTCCTGTATTACTCAAGCGATTCCTTTTGTAACGAACGATTTTTTTAAAAGAGCTAAAACGATGAACGTTTCTAGAATATTGGAATTGTTTAATGAAATAAATCTGTTTGAACAGAAAACAGATATTTTTGATAACAATAGAATACAAAATGATAAGTACAATGTTATGAAGTAAGCTTAATAAAATTACGTTAGTAATAATGATTATAATAATAATCATAATAATAATCAGTTTTTTATGGATGACCTTAAATTATATGCATCTAATAAAGATCAACTATAGAGTGAAATGGTGATTGTCCAAAACTTCAGCAATATCTGCATGGATTTTGGCTTGGATAAATATGCGACGTTGCATGTAAAACGTGGAAAAATCCAAAATCAGGAAGGAGAATTACAACTCTCCAGGGACACCATCATTTAAAACCTTGGAAACAAAGCCCCTCACAAATATCTAGGGATGTTGCAACTATTGAAAATAACTGACTCAAATGCCCGAAACAGGATACAAAAGAAAGTGGTAGTCAGAATTAATAAGATCTGTGAGACGAATATAAACTCAAGAAACGAAATTTCTGCAATAAACACATGGGTTGTCCCTGTAGCTACTTACTCCTTTGGAGTAATAAAACGGATGGATACTTCTTTCCAAGCCTTTGACAGAAAACTCAGAACGACACTTACCAAGCATCAACTTCACCTTCTCAGAGTTCGACACAGAGGTTCTCGAAACGATGCAGACAGCGGACTGCTTAGTTTAAAGACACTATGTCGTCAGCAAGAAGAAAAACTCCTTTTCCTTCAATAGACACTTCAATCCATAATGCAATATGCACGCAAGATAAATATCAGTCCATCAAGTGTAGCCCAAGAGAAAAGAGTTCATTCACTTGACAAGGGATGATAGAATTGATATCTGGAAGACGAGGGAATTACATGATCGGTTTAGAGCAACATTGACATCTGCTGAAATTGATCTGAGATGGTCCACAGAATGGCTGAGAACAGCAGGACTCTATGGTGAAACTGAGGGTTTCCTCTTCTCTATTCAGGACCAAGTGATAAAGACCAGAACATGTCAAAAATATATCTTGGGCAAACAGATTGATAGCAAATGCCGATTATGCAGAAGTACCAATGAGTCTATCCAGCAAATATGCAGCGGTAGCCCATACTTGGCTCAGATTGAATACTTGCAACGGCATAATAATGTACCGAAAGTAGTTCACGAAGCGCTTTGCAAAGAAATACCATATAGTTGAACAGGAACAGCCATATTATAAATGTAAGCCTGAACATGTCATCAGTAACCATCAGGCGCGAATTCTATGGGACCCGACAATTATAACCGACAGAACGGTTGAAGAAAACAGACCTGATATTGTACTGTTTGAAAAATCAGAGAAAACAGCGATGATTGTCAATGTAGCAGTTCCTTCAGATGAAAAGCTGTCGGTGGCTGTCGAATTAAAGGATATGTACAGAGTCCGAGGAGTAGAGATAATTCCTGTGGTGGTGTCTGTAAATGTCTTATAGTCATGAAGAACTGGCAGAAAGCTGGAGAAATTCTACAATTACAACAAAAACATCTGAGAACTGTGCAGAAAGCTGCTTTACTTGGTACAGCGAACATTGTCAGGAAATTGTTGAGTCTTGATTAAGGGATAAATAACCAGAGAAGTTAATGTGTCACTAGAAGATTGCGAAATAGATTGCAAGATTGTGAAAAATATTGAGAATAATTGTGAAGTGCATGATCTGTAGACTTTATCTTCTTTGTACCTCCATAAATATTGTAGAGACAAATTTTGTCTTGGGCAAGCCCCGACATCTTTTGTATTTAAAAAAGGATAAATAACAACTTTCTAATTAAGTTCATCGAAACAATGTCTTCTCTCTTGTTCATCTCCCCTCTAAATTATATTCTGAATTCTTCTGTTCTATTTGTTCTCATGTATTCTTATTCCAATATAGAAACTCATTACATTTTACGTCATTCTTTCGTCATTCCATCCCTCTCTTCTCCTCACGAACAACCAGGCACGTTATTCGGCTCATTGCATTCTATGTTTCCAGCTCATCTACCGTAACTTCACTATTCAGTGCCCCTTCCCTGACGTGACGTACATTCTTCTCTCAATATTGTCATGCCGTTCGATTTTCATGCTCCTGGATGCCCCGCGTTTCACTTAAAGCCTCCTAGCCCACTGCCGCGCCAACTTACACACACCTCCCCGCGCCCACGTACTTCACCCAATCCTGCCCCCTCTTTAATCCCTCACACAATCCAGCCTCGCTCCACCTCTCGCACACACTTCGCTTTCATCCCCATGTTACCCCTAATTATACTCTATTTTAACATCAATCTCACCCCAAGCTTTCTCATACATTGCACCCCGCATCCCCGCAATCTACACCCTAGCTCTCAGCCGCATCATCCACCTCCTAAGCTTAGTCCCTCTCCAAACCCTCATTTTTCCCTTCTGCCAGTATTCGCTGCGCCTCACTCATCCTCCTCCTTAAGCCCCCACTCTCGATCTTCGACCCTCACCCCCAGCGTGATCAAACCCCTTCCCCTTTCTAACCACACCGCCCGCCTTGGCCTTCGCTGTGTGCTCACCCACCCCCGCCTGCGGCGTCGTCGTCGCGACGCGGCCGGCGTGCCGCGGGCGGGGTGGGGCGGGGCGTGGCGGGCGCTGGCGGGGCGGGGCGTGCGGGGCGGTGGGGGCGAGGGGCAGCGCGCGCGCCGGCGCGGCTCGGTGGGGCGGGGAGGGCGGCATGGCGGGCGGCGCGGCGCCGGCAGTTGCGTTCGCGGGGCTGACGCGGACGGGTGCGTGGCGCTAGATTGCACGTGCGCGGGCGTGCTGCACGTGTGTGCTCGGCTGACGCGCGCCTGGGGCGCTTGCGACGTTCTGTCCTACCAGATGGATTCTTACCTCATTTACCATTAGAGATAAGTGAGAAAAATCACGTGTTTGTGGTAAATTTGAGCATACAAAGACCGTTAGTGAGAGTGACATTCAAAGAAATGCCATTTGCACACTAAATGTGTAAACAGTGAAAAGTGTAGAACAAATAGTCATCTCAGTAGTGATTTGTGATTGAAAAACTGTTCGGAAACTAAAATAGATTCATACAAATCGTTCTTTAAACATAGATTCTTTTTCCAAATGTGTTTTAGAATCGCAAATTTAATTTGCCCTTGTCTTCTAAAACTTTTCCAAACAACTGTGAAGGGTCTCCACCCATCGTTCATATCAAGCGTGTAAAACCCGTCAGCAAACCTCCGTACCATCAAACGACGTCCACTCGTGCCCACAAGGATACTCCGTCATCCAACAGTCGCCTCCCGCTCCAGCGGCGTGGAGAACCCGTCGGTTGCGTGTCAGGTGAGTGTTGAGGCATTGAGCACTGTTGCGAGGGGAAGGGAGCTATTTTGCTGCGGCGCGCCCTGACGAACGAGATGGCATTTCGTTTTGCATTTAGAGAGGGTCAAATGAAAATATGTAAATGTTCAACTGGCGGAAGGGCGGAGAAGGGCTGGTGGGTTGGCCCCGGGCCAGTGCAAAATGCCTGGGCTGCGTGAGGTGGGAGCGCGTAAATTTCTCTTTGTGACTGATATTTCTCGCTAATGCTGACTTATGAATAGACGCAAGGATAAACTTGTTATTTATGTACAAAACGAAGATAGTTTTATCGTCTACGCAGGAGTCATAAGTAACATTTCATACGCTTGATAAACATATCTATTGTTTTGATTCTTTTCAATCCCAAAATAATAGTTGATTAACATGCGTGTTGGTTAAATGATGAGTAGTAAATGGTGTTGAGATCGGTGTTTAAGGGGCGGAATAATTTTGATTAATGAAGCCATATTGCTATTTTTATTACCAAGTAATTACAGTTATCTAGTTATGGTATTATTATTGATGAATTGAACAACAACAGTAATGACATATTTTTTAATCCAGACATCAATACCTTGATAATCGTATTTGACATATTTGAAAATCATTCAATTTCTCGAATAAGATATTATATTTACGAAAAATAAATGTTTTCTTAGTTTCTGGTAAGATTTTATTAAAATGCCTTGGTTCGGTAAGTGTTTCATTGTGGTAATGGCGTATAAGTATTATATTTAGTAAGTTTTGTATTTAATTTTTTATAGATATTTACGATATTGGTGTCGTAATACATCTGACTACAATAACAGATTGGAAAATTGACAACCAAGTCCGTTAGGACGAGGTTGGTAACCAATCGAGTATTGCAATCAGATGTTACGACACGAATATCGTACGTTTTATCCTCGTTGTAAAAATTTGTTAGATTTAAGATTAAAATTTTCATTTAGTATTCACATTTTCCCCTTTAAGTGCCGACACTGTTCTTAACAAGGAGAACAATTGAAACGCGCATGGTGTGCACATTTCGACACCGTGAGCGAATGCAGTTCAGACTCAGAAATAGAAATAGCAGTAAATGCTGCAATAGATTCTATGTGAAATCGTCAGTAGAAAACAAGAAACAAATAGCGATGAAAATTATGGGCGAAAATAGTTTTTCAAATACTAATGTGAATTGTCAGGCTTCAACATCATGAGGAATTGCAATTTCGAATTGCAAGAAATTTATTTATATAATAAGTAATTAAAACATGTTATTATTATTTTAATATTTGAAAAATTGTTAAAGTTATTTTCATAATAAATTATTTAAATAATTATTAATAATCTCAATAGTAGACCATGGAATACTGCTCGTCGCAGAATAACCCTACTCGTATGTCATTACCACACTAGAACGGTAAAGTACTTCATTACGAAATTGATTACAATAGCATAATGTTTCACATTACCTAACCAAAGTGGATAAAAAATATTTCAACGTTTTTTATACAAAACCTCCCCTCTTCTTTTGCACTATACGCTTCAGGTATTTTATTGAAATGTTATTTGTAAAAGGGCATTCATGTTTTTTCCTGAGACATCGAAAAGAGGTTAGTTCTATCCTGACTTACATGTTCGAAGACACATTTTTACACATTAAGATTCCAAGTGTACGGAATGTTACTTTAAATACACAAGACAACGCGGAAAATACAAATATTCGCACGTCAAAATTTGTCTAATTTTCACAAAAATGATATTTATATTTTTTTTTTCATTTATTGAAAGTATCCATGATACATGCATCTTTCGTTTCATTTCCTATGACGGTTTATCGTCATTTAACGATATGTCATTTAACGATACGTCATATAACGATATAACGCCATGTAACGATGTGATCATGTAACTGATTGATGTAATGATTAATGTATAACTGAAATGTAATAAGTTCGTAAATGTTCAGTTAATTCTGTTTTAAATTCACTATAATAAACTATTAAAACATTTTAAACGAGATTTGTTTTAAATCCCAAAACGTTATATCTTAATTCACCCCAGATAAAGTATCAAACTTTTACTTTCTTTTCTTAGAATTACATTCAAAATATCAAAATATGAGTTCAAATAAGTCAAGAAATGGATATTTTTAAGAACTTCATCAATTGGTCTAGAAGGTTTTATATACTCGGTAAATGAGTCTCCGAGTCTGTTATGAGGAAATCTGGACTTTCGGAAAATCAAAGACTGACTGTTCTTATGACATTGTTTTTATTGTTTGTGGATCATAAAATAGGAAACACATGAAGATTTCACAAAGCAAAACTAATAGAATAATAAAATTGGAAGCATAATATATCAGAGCGGAAATGCAAAAATCAATGAAGCAACTATAGAATAACCGTAGATCCCTCTTTCCAATCTTCCACTGACCAAGTTCAGTCAGATGGTTTTGAGTTGGTGTTGAGACGAGCGTTAAGGACTCACCTCGAAAAGGCATTGTTTTATTATGGCTTAAATAACACCAATATCTCGGCGTGGCACTCGTGTCCCAATGCAGTTGAACGGAAACATTTTTGTAGGCTCCAGGGGAAGTCAAAGAGTGTTGCTAATGGTATGAAGCTGTGGGAATAAAATTAATATGGGTTCGTCTTCTTTGGGCACAATCCATCTATCTTTCCTTTGGCGGTTATAGTGGTTCACCCGCTATAACAAGGGGTTAAAATTGAGCTTTATTAATGTGAAAGAAAATATAGTAAGTTTCCAGTGCGATAGCTCAACAGTTATAAATCTCCCTAATTAAAGCTCAATTCATCGACATTTCATATAAAAAATAACATTTATGTAATTTATTTTGTTTTAACATGCGTTTACGCTTGTATCACTTGCTAGTGTCTATGAATAGTTGCGCTGCCTTCTGTAGTAAGAAATACCGATCATAGTAATGACCACGGAAGGCTAGGACAGAAAGCGAATTGAGGTAGGCCCCTTGCTTGTTTACTCTCTGCTATTATTTTAATCCCAGTGGCAACAAACATACTTAAGCAAAAGAAAAAGCGTGATTCCGGTCCTACTTTGAACACGTGTATTAAAGTAAAATGAGAAATTGGATTATAATTAATAAGACACGATACTTAAATATGATTGTTCACTGAAGAAGCAAGAATTCGAATGCTCTAATTCCGGCATGTTAAACTTCGCCCGCTCGAGCTACATGTCCGGCACTCCTGCAAACACGGGCAACTTCCCCTGATTCTCCTCTCTTTTCCCCTCTAAATTCAGAAAGAGCACTCGCTGAAGCGAGGAATACAAAGGCGCTGAGCGTTTTCCAAGTGTACCGAAGAATAGTGTCTTCGTACGAAAGTAGTTTTGCCTGATGTCTTCTCTAAAATTTAAAAATCAGCTATCCTTGAATTTTGTTTCTACGAATTCCTTATTCCTTACACTACTTAGTCCTTTATTTAATGCCCATTTTATTTGTAAATTATGCTTTATATAAGCAATATTGCATGGGAACAGAAACACTCGTATGTTTCAATGACCAACTCTATGCTGGTTTATGTTGTGTTCTATTTAATTAAATCAGTCTGTTATTTGTTATTTCGTCCAAATATGTGAAAAATTGAAGAAATTTCCTTTGGGACGGGGAGATCTTTCAACAGGCAAGAATTTTCGTAAAGCCTTGTGACATGAACGTAGGTATTTAATGAAATTATTGCATTATTATGCATACGCTATTATGAAACAGACCTTTTCGATTAAAAATGTTTAAATTTTAATTCTTTCAAATGAACAGTTTTAAATATGACTGATTTATTTGATTTTAATGGATTATTTCTTTGCTTTAATGAAGAAAGCAGAATTAATATCGCTTTTGGGGCAGTAACTGTCAACTGATTTCTCTCAAGACTTCTCCAAAATTTTCTCACGCGCCAACACTCCAGTGAGCCAGTCGGGTGCATATGTTCAGCCATGCGCCAGCCATCCGCCAGTGCCAACGAACCCTAGAAAGCAGGTTACCTTTCCCGTGACCATAACATGAATTCTCTAAATGCGCACATACGACTGGGCTACAAGATATCCAGCTAAAATGTGTAGAAATAAAAAAAAATGGCTGTGGTTTGAGTTACCTTACTCAATATGTCGGGATGCTATAATACTTCTCATAACAGAATATGTTTTCAGTAGTTCTCTATACTACTTTTCGTTTCCAGACGAAAGAGGAATATTGTTTAAACATAATTGAAGCTCAGATTGAAGAATTGTGTTTAGGGATAAAATCGATTTCAAGTTACTTTGAAAAATAACACAGTTGAAATATATTTATCAACATCTTTCAACAATTTTTGAATAAAATGAAGTGTCAAATTCAATTTGTGAAACTCATTTTCGATGTATTCACATTGAATACGATCTTAGTAGAACACAATGTATTTCAAAACATCTTGAAAAGAAAAGGGGCAAAAATATGACACATGAAACTATGATTACTCTCCTCGAGTGAAAGAAGAAAAACTATTATAAGGAATAAAGTATTAGAAAGTAAATATATTTTATTGCATGTAGATCATGAGAGTTTCTTGAGGCAAATTCACGAGTTGACAAAATTTTCCAATGCATCAGAAATTCTCTCGCGGTAATATAAAAGTATTAGTGTCCTGGAACAGCAAAAGTGCTGCCCCAATGTTTTTCTTAAACGTAGCATGCACACTATTAAATTGATGAATTGATAAATTAATGATTCCAGGCGCGGCAACTATTGAGGTCATTACTTCTGTAAATATAGCGAATCCTTAATTGCGGGAGGTGGTATACCGCTGGTGATATACGGCACCGATCTGTGGGGGCTTACGAATATTTCCCCCCACGGATATCTCGCACCAGCGTGGCCTCACTGCCCCGCTCGGACAATCTCTAAGCTCTCGACTGGACTTCTGACATCTGTGGTAGGGTAGTGCATGCGAGTTGAAGCGCATGCTACTCGAGGATGACAAATG